TGCAGTGCCCCCGAGCGCCGTCCCGATGGTGGGACCAGCAGCCCCCCACCACGCACACCCACATCTCAGGACTCCCCCTCACCTGGAAAACCATCCAGCCTTTAAATTGGGGCTCAAGGACCCCCCCCAAGGCTTCTTAAGCTGATGGATTTTAACCCATCAGGTGATGGGGGGGCACAGCTGGGGCCACCCACTGGTGCCAAAACCAGCACCTGGGTGATGGCTTGACAGAGCTGTGACACTCCTGGGGACAACTGTCCCCCAGCAGCGGTGCCTGGGGGTGACCAAGCTCCTCGCAGCAGGACAAGGACAGGCAGCGTCCCCGGGGCTGCTGGAGGTGACCGACGGGGCACACGAGGGCAGTGGAGATGGAGAAGGGTTGAGGACGGTACCAACCTTCTTCTTCTCGGAGAGGTCGTTCCACATGCGCGCCAGGAGCCGGGTCAGCTCGCTCTCCGACAGCTCCGGCCGCTCCTCCTGCAGCTGCTTCCGCTTCTCCTCCGAAAAGATGAACATGGCGGAGATGGGCCGCTTGGGCTTCTCTGAGCTGGCCTGCGGGAGGGACACGGGGCCAGGGGTGAGCACGCAGAGAGACCCGCCTCGTGCTGGCAGCCTCCAACCCCAGGAAACACATGAAGCAAGCCCTCAAAGCAACCTGGAGATACCACCAACCTCATAATCTCTGGCATGTGCGGCCCCATCTCTCACCTTGCCGGTCTCTGGGGAGGATTTTTTGGACGCAGGACTCGTCGCTCCTTTCCGGTTGCTGCCCAGCATCTTCTCCTCGCCCAGCACCCGCTGCTGCTCCTCCTCGGGCAGGCTCTGGGTGGCAGAGGAGGAGAGACACCGTTAGACGGCCCGACGCTAACGAGGCTTCGATGCCATCAGGGAACAGGGACACTGGGGATGGGGAACTGATGCACTCAGCTGTCCTGATCCAAAAGCCACCCCAGCCAGGGCCAACACCAGGCATCACAAGGCTGGGTGTACAGCCTGGGGGTCCCCCCGCCTGCATCACCCCCTTGCTGGGCAATGTCCCTCTTCCCCAGCTCTGTCCCCTCCCTGGCTCAGTCTCGTCGGCTTCCTCCCCGCTGAGGCAGGGTGGGCAGGTGCCCGGATCCGGGCGCCCCACTGGGTTTTCCCCCTCCCGCCCCTGCAGACGCTGCCGGGGCCACGTCACGTCCGCCCGCTTGGGGACTGAGCACGATGCTGGGACAGCCTCGGTGCAGCTCCCCCCGCCTACGCCCCCGCTGAGGGAAGGAAGCGAGAGACTCGCTGCTGCCCGCACAGCCGCGGACGGCAAACAAACACCCCTCCCCTCCCCCCAGTCTGCCCCGCCCAGCCGGGGGGGCCCATCCCCACCTCCCAGTGCCCAACTGGAAGACACTGGATGAGGCGCTAGGGCAGCTGGGGAAGGGTCAAGACTGCACAAACATCTCTGCACAGCACCCATGGCTGGCTCCAGGCACATTTTGGGGGGACCAGAAGAGGGGCAGCATCAGTGCAGCCCCTGTTTAACCCATCTCAGACCCATGACCGGGGTCTCCAGCACCCCATGGCTGAGGCACCCCCACATCACTCACCTCCAAGAAGCGCAGGAGCTCAATCTCGTAGTCTTTCTTTTTCTGGAGGGAGACAGAGACATGCGGTTACAGAGATCCCCCGCCCCAGCCCTGCCTCATGCAGCCCCCAACCCAGCCTCAGCCCTCTCGGCACCAGCATCCCCCCCCAGCCCATCTGCTGGTCCCATACTGGTGAACTGGGAGACAGACGACTAAGGGAGGTGACCGAGGACCTCAGGGTGCTCAAGATAAGATGATCAGGCACTGCAGAATGGTGAGGGGCTCATTTCCACAGCAAGATTTGCAGCCCGAGCCCTCCCATCCTCCTCCTCCTCCCTCCCCGCTGGTGCCCATCTTACACGTCCACCTGTCCGTCCCTCCTCGGCCGCTCACCTGATCGCACTTTTTGTGGTACGCGTCCTTTTCCTTCTGGGAGAGCAGCTTCCACTGCTGGCTGCACAGCACCATCCGCTCGGTGCTGGGCACGTCTTTCATGTTGGCCATCAGCTCTGCGCAGTACAGGGAGTAGCTGTTCCTGCAACCCACAGAGGGACCCGGCGTTAGGGACAACCTGCCCCGCTCTTGTCCCCTCTGCGGGGCTGGCAGGGTGCTAAGAGACCCCCAAGACCCCCGAGCTGCCCTTTGGTGAAGTGCTGTGCCAGAGGCGCCTGCATTTTAGGGAAACCAGGAATTGGATCACCCCTTAATTCGGAGCATGCAGCATCACCATAAACCTCGCTCAGATTCTCTGCAAATGTATATTTACTGTATATTTAAAGACCATTTTAATGGAGTCATTGACAGCCCATGTCCCTGGTCCCAGCAATGATGCTCTTGGGGTTCCCAAAGCCAGGCAGAGCCCCAGTTTCCTCATTAGTAGGAACCAGCGTCCTCCCGGTAGCTCAGAGAAGGATCCATCCCTTGCACCCCAATGGGGGGTACTCACGGAGGGGGCTTTGTGGGTCGTCCGTCGAATTTGTCCTTGAGCTGGCGCTCGGCCTTGGTGAGCGTGGAGCGGGTGATGCCCTCCTCGCTGATGTTCAGCTCGGGGTGCTTCTGGATGTAGTCGCGCATGATCTCCTGGAAAGGACAGAGAGCTGTCAGGAGAGCGGCTCCGATCCCCGCCTGCCCGGGGGCCGGAGGAGGAGGAAAAGAGAAGCCAACCACTGCCCTAATCATCTCCCCAGGGGTCATTCTCCCTTCCCCAAAACGTCGCTGGAGGAGGCAGGGCTCAGACTCGCTAGGGACCTGCAGGGATCTGGCTGAACGCCCACGCTGGCTATCGGATAGCCGCAGGGGGCTAGCGGCCGGGAGGCAGAGTGGCTTGGAGTGAACGTAGGGACGAGTGTGGAGGGGAATGGGTGAGGCTGCTCCCTACCTCGTACTCCTTCCGCTGTTCCAGGGCCTTATGAATCCATTTCAGCCTCTTTTTATCCGAGAGTTGAGACCACTGCTTGCCCAGCGACTCTTTCACCTCCTTCGTGGTGGCCTGAAAACCCAAAGCCAGAGGTGAGGGCAGAGGGGTAAAATCCAAAAAAAAGGGGGGAAAAAAAATAATAAAAAAAGGCAAAAATAGTCTTTGCCTGCCATCTTGTCCTGACGGCACCCAGCTTGGGGCCGCAGGGTGGCTGCAAGCTGAGCTCGCAGCCGGGGAAGGGGGTGCGTGCGAGTGCGGGGCATGGCCAGGGGGGATGTATCTGTGCTGGAAATCTTTCCTGCCCTGACTCAGGCTGTGGTCACCCCTTCATCTGCAGGCAAAAAATGGGGTCTGTACCCCCAGAGCCTCTTCTTACCTCCAGATAAGGGGCAGAGCCCCTTCTTACCTCCATCCAGACTGCTGGGAGCTTCTAGCGGTGTCTTCCATCCCCCCCCCCTAAAATGCTTCTCTCGTTTCCCCCTCCTCCCCCCCGCAGCAGCGGGGTCCAGGACCCCTCGACACTCACGCTCACACGCACTCCCACCCACCGTACTCACATCTGGACGCACTTTCAAGTAGATCTTCTTCTCGTGGTTGTACCACAGCTGCTGGGGGGTCTTGGGTTTTTCGGGGACGTCGGATTTCTTGGCGTTCTGGATGAGATCCGGGTGATCTTCCCTTTACCCGGCAGGGAAGCAGGGAAGGGAGAGCATTACGGAGGTTGTACGTAGAAGGAAAGCACCCCTAAACCTCCCCGCTTTGGAGTAACCACCGCTGCAGGGCTCATATACAGGGGGTGTCCCCGAAAATAGGGTTTTAGGAGAGATCTGAGTCTGTCCCTCCTGGGGGAGCATCAGCTATGAGAAACCCCTTTAATGCACCGGGCTGGGCTGCACCCCTGGAGCAGCGGCAGGACATCGGGAACACCAGGAACCACCTGGGTCACAGCAACCGCCTTGGAAGGGAAGGTCTGGGGGGAACAGGGGGGGGTCAGCAGAGCTCCTGTCCTCCCCTTGCAGACCCTAACCCCCTGAGCGTGGCTGGTCCTTCGCCCTCTCCCCATCACTGAGTCTCCCAACTGGGGGGCTTCTCTCAAACACCTTTTCCTTGCTCTTTTTTTCCATCATCCCCCCTTCCCTTCTGTCTTCAAGCCTCAGTGCCCATCAGGGCTTCCTCCATGAACTACACACAGGACAGGAGATGGGGTCTGCCTGGGGGGGCCCAGGGAAATGGGGGGGCTGCCAGCTCACCTGAACCTCGCCAGGTTCCTCTCAAACTCCTGCTTCTCTCGCTGGAAGTCCTGGATGTATTTCATCTGGGGACACAAAGCCACCAGGGAGGTGGAGAGGGACATCAGCACCGGGGAACGGTGCAGATCCATCCCTGTCGAGCCCACCAGCTGGGCACCCCACCACCCCCAAAGGGACCCGACGGCTTCTCCAGCCCAGCAGACTGGTCCTGCAGCTCCCAGCGAGGGTTCCCAGCCTGTTGAGGGGTTCAGAAGCAGCATCTCCCTGCACCCAAGCAGCCCTGCACAAGAGGGCACAGCGGGACTTGGTGTCCTGGACCCTTCCTGCTGGTGGCAAATCCACCCAGATGGGGAGTTGGGGCACCCAAAAAGCCTGCCTGGGCTCTGGCCAAGCCCAGGGCCACCTCCAGAGATGGGGGTGAGGTGGGCAGCTCCCCTCCCAGCATCTCCCAGGACTCGGAGCAGAGCTGGCCCCTCCATCCCTCCCTTGGACAGGGCCACCATGGTGGGGTGTGGGATTTAACCCCCAGCGTTAAATCCAGATCCACCCAGCAGCCAAGTCACCATCCAGGTCCGTCTGGAAGGGATGGACCAACGGACAGACCCAGCCAGCCTCCACCCCACAGATCCTGGGAACCAGGACAGGAAAAGAAAGGAAGTCTTACTGGTCTGACGGGACTAAACAAGCACCCGGGTTTCTCCCATCGGGAGCCGGATTAAACCCTCACCAGGGCAGAGGCTAGGCTCTGCTGGTTTTACTGGGAGAGCTGGGCAGGTAGAGGCACACAAGTGGGAAGGGGCTTGCTGATTTCCACCCCCTTCCCTGTACCTTTTTCTTCTCGGGAAGCTCCTTGTATTTCTTGGACAGGATCTTGGTGAGATCCAGGTTGCTCATTTCGGGGTGAAGCTTGGCATATTTGGCCCGCTTCTCCATGAAGAAGCGGAAATAGGGAGTCAGGGGCTTCTTGGGGAAGTCGGGGTGTTTCTGGGGAGACAGCACAGCGGCAGACACTGAGCGCGGAGCTGGCGGCACCGCGGAGACCACAGTAAAACCCCACAGGGTCCCAGCTCCCCCTGATACTGGGGGGGGCCTGCCTCCATCCAGCCCCGCTAGGGATCCACCTCCCCAGCACGGGAACACCCCAGCTTTGCAAGCAAGGGGGGAAAAATTCCTGGGAACAAGGGCTCTGTACCCCGGGAACTACAATATCCCAGGGCTGGGTATCCCGGGAGCAGCCTCAGAGCAGCTGTGCTGCAAAAGGGGAAACTGAGGCAGAAGGAGGGGACAGAACCCACCTCTTGGGGACAACCAGCAGCAGAGCATCAGCTGCCCCGGGGCCGCCCAGCCGACAGCAGCACCCCACTCGACCCCACAGGCCAGGAATAGGATGGCAGCTTCCCGGCCCCCCCGGGGCTAAACTTGGACGCGGGCTGCCAGCGATCCAGCCGACCATATTACATGTACCCCGGACTTGGCCCCAGCCCAGAGCCCATGGCCTCCAGAGCCTTGGGCAGCCGGCTGTGGGATTACGGGCAGGGAGGTGCCTGTGGGGGCTCTGGCAATAAAGCCACATGGTTCTGGGTGACAGCCCCCCATCCCAGGGAAGGGAGGGTCCCCCTTTAGGGACTGACCCCAATTCCTGCCTGATACCTTGAGCTTTTTGCCTTTGTAAGGATTCTTCACGTGCTCCTCGGCATCCATAATGAGCTCCGTGAGGGTCCGAAACTTCCTCACCTGCGGGGTAACGAAGGGCCACAAACGTGAACAGGCTGCACACGGGGGACAGGGCAGATCCCCGCTCGGCACCGGCATGAACCCCCAGGGTTTTGTAACACCACCGCGCAAACAACCCACCCCAGCGCCTCCGAAAGGTTCGTAATGCCGATGGCAGCGGGATGGTGTCGGCACTAAGGGCCGAGGACTCGTGGCACAGAACTTGAACCCTGGGAGGTCACCGACACGCTCGGCCCCTCTCGCAGAGACCCCTCGGAGCCCTGGGGGGCTGTCAGTTACCTCGTTAGAAATCTCCATCCACTTCATCTTGCACATCTCTCCCGAAAAGTCCTTGAAAGCCACTTTCTCCCAATCCAGGTGGGACTCGGTGGTTTTGAATTTGCTCCCGTCGTTGGAGGGCAGGTTATTCTTCATGCACTCCAGCAGAGTCAGCATGTCCTCCTGCGACCAGCGGTCTGAGCGGCAAAGAAACAGGCTGAGCAGCAGCGCCGGGGCAGGCAAGCCTTCCCGGCACGACACAGGGACTACAGCTCCCGGCGTGCAGCTCCGGACCGCACGCCAGGACACGTAATCTCCGCATGCTGCCTCTCGAGATTAAAGATCAAAGGGACGTGGCTGTTTCCATCACCCTCCAGCAACTTTCTACAGGCCAAAAACATTCTGAGCAAAGCTAGAAAATCCACTCGGCGCTAAACCAGCGGGACTCGCTCATCCCAGCACCCCATCAGATAAGGCGAGGGCTCTGCCGCACGGGAGCAGAGGGCTATTTCCTACGCATGGGAGCGAAGCCCTGCAGAGCGATGCCAAGGAGGAAAAAGGGAAACCCACTTTCTAAGGGGAAAAGATGCGTCCGAAGCAATGGGAAACCCCCCAGCGCTGCTTTTCCTTCAACTTGGAGAGCTTTGCCATCACCTGGGACCTAGCTCCATGTTGACCTCCGCCAAGGTCAAAGCTCAGAGACCCCAAAGCAGGGCTGGGGGGAGTCTGGGACAGCTCCTGTCTCACAGCAGGGTCCCTGACGGGGCAGGGGTGATGGTCATAGCACCCCAACATCCCTGGAGCTGCCAGGAGGAGCATCCCCAGCTCCCATAGGGACAAGCTGCCGGGATGGCGGGACCAGCACACGGCAAAGCCGGAGAGCCTGGAGCAACTGGGATGGGCAGCAGCCCCATGCTGGGACAGGCAGCCGGCGGGATATCCCAGCACCCACCCAGCGCCCCATCCAGCACCCAGCGCCCCATCCAGCACCCGCTGCGGGGCTGCGTCCATGTCAGGGGAATTCCTCAGCTGGGCTCCCCGCCCCGAGCTTCCGCGCTGGCTGGGTGCTCGGCAAAGATGGGTGG